ACATTCCTAATCTTAAAAAAGGTGGGGGTCGCTTCCCTGGCGATCCAGTAGTTAAGACTCTGCGCTCCCAATGCAGGGGGCACGGGTTTGATGGGTGGTCTGGGGAACTAAGATCCTGCATGGTGTGGCCAAAAAAGAAAAAAGAAGGGTTGGGGGTAAAGGTATCAGCTAAATTTCCCCATTGATTGTTTAGGGGTTCTTTCTCTAATAAATTTTAATTTTGGAATAATTTCAGATTTACATGGCAGTTGCAAAGATAGAACAGAGGGCTCCCATATACCCTTCACTCAGTTTCCCCTGATGCTAACATCTTATATTACCATGTACACTTGTTACAACTAAGAAATCAACATTGGCATACTCTTCTCTTGGTAACTAAACTCCAGAATGTATTCAGATTCCACTGGTTTTTCCACTAACGTCCTTTATCTTTTTCAGACTCAAATCCAGGATACCACATCGCACTTAGTATTTAAGTTGTTTTTCAGAAGTAGGACTTATTCCTCGATATTCCTCTTGTACAAGTTTTAGAAGAAGAGTTTAAACTTTTCAAGCTAGTCAACTGAACCAGTCTGACAAACTTAAACTCTGATTGTATTTCTTTTATTACAGTAATTTGCAAATTAAATACACACACACACACATACAAACCTTATGTTCCAACTACAATTTGTTGTTCATTATACTTTAGGGGCAGAAACCATAAATTATATTTATTGTATTTGTATGTTTTAGCACAGATAAAAACACAGTTGCTTATATATTCTCCTTAGTACTGGAAATAAATGTTTGGACCCAGCACAGTTGAATCTGCTCACACACCCCTTGGGATAAGAATGGGGAGGAAGTTTTGCATGTGTGGCTGCCCATGATGAAACCCATTTTTAAAAGATAGAAAAAGAAATGATGCCATCTGTCCAGTTGGCAGTTGCTGTTTCCTAAGGCTTTTCTCTTTTAAAGATCAGTATAAACTAAGCAAGAGTAAATGCTCCCCTTTTGGGTCAGATTTTAGCTTTCACTTGCAAGGTCTCAATTCCAGTGCTGTTAGAACTCGGAGATGCATTTCCTAATTTGTAAATAGGATAGCCCTCGAGATCGCTGTAGAGAAAGCGAAATTACGACATTTCAAAATCTACTTTTGAGCTCATCAGGGCGTTTCTCTCCATCAAAATTAATCTCCGTGCGACCCAGATGGGACTCGAACCCACAATCCCCAGCTCCGGAGGCTGATGCCTTATCCATTAGGCCACTGGGTCACCACGGGATCCGGGTTCTCACACCGTCCCCTTACGCAATGCCATCATCGCGCACCGCCCTCGCGCTCTGCGGTCTCCCTTCCGGCGGTGTGTGATTTGGGAGCCGCCCCCAGCGCCTGCAGCACGCGCCTGCGCACTCCTGCGCCCTCGACCCGTCCCGCCGCCAGAGCCTCCGCGCGCATGCGCAGGATCTGCCCCACCCCATTGCCCTGGTACTGCGTGGCCCGCACGCGGGCAGCTTTGGGTGTCTCTGGGGGAGCTGTTTCCTCTTGGGTTTTCGGAAGGGTCTCAGTCCTGGCAGTATACTAGGCGCACTTGGTGGGCGGGGGAACTCTAAACAAAATTCCAATGCTTGGACTCTCCCCGTTCTAATTCTATTTACCAGGGCGGTCCCGGGTCTCTGCATTTTGCAGAGTTCCTGCGACCTTCTTCTGGGGTGAGGTCCTACCGCATCCCCCCAACCTTCCCGTCCCTAACAGCTCCCTCCTTCCCTTTTTTCCCCTGCATTTATTCAAAGTACGTTAATTGGATAACATTATGTGCTGGAAGCTGTTGGGAGTTTGCAGGGTGAACAGGCTTTTCTTCAAATCTGCCCTTCTCCCCCACTCACCTACAAACATTTTTCTCCCCATCTCTTCTTTCCCTCCGAATTGAAGGGAAAATAAATATAACGAGGTCCCTAAATACAAAATAATACGAATTTTGTTTTGTTTTTATCCTAAAGCTAGGTCTTCGATAAAGATTTAGAGATTTTCTGGTTCCATGCATAGTATCTGTATGCTTGTTGCATATAAAGGTGCTGCATTTGTTATTTTTAAAAATACACGATTTCGTTTTCTTCTTAGACACATAATACCTGTTCATTTAAAAAATTGTATAAAATGGGGGTAAGCCAAACAAAAATTGAAATTGATTATAATTTTACCATTCAGAGTTAACCACTATTAACATTTTGGTGTGCATCTTTCAAATCTTATGTGTCAGTGTGTTATGTGTCAGTTTTATTACCTGTGGATCCTGAGTCATCCAGGAAATGCTTTTCACAAAAACTAGGACATTATTAGTGAATAATAAATAATCATATAGCAACGATGGTGCAGAAGCAATGGTGGGTAAAACTGACACAGCGAATCAAGGCAGTGACACTAAGCAATAATCGTTATTCTTCACCTTTGTGCAGTGGAGGGAGGGGAGGGAATTTGGGCCAGCTTCACTTAAGAACATCCTTGATGACACTATAAGAATTATTAATTTAAATCTCGACCCTTGAGTACACATCTTTTTAATATTTTGTGTGACAAAATGGGAATTATGCATAAATCACTCTTACCACAGAATTCAATGGTTGTCTCTTGAGGAAAACATTTGTTCAGTGTTTGAGTTGCAGGCTAAACTGGCTGCTTTTTCAGTGGAACATAGTTCTTGAAAGAATGACTGACAGGTAAACTATAATTATTCAGACTTGGGCACACTTGGGTTTGCTTCTCTGGAGCAGCTTCACTCTCAGGCTCACATCATCAGAGCACGCAGTCCACTGGAAGAGGGGGGATATCTCACAAAAGTCTCAGTAAATATTTTACTGCATTGTGTTATATCTTTATCACCAAATTCCTGTGTCTGGCAGATGGAACGTACTGATTGGCTTAGGCCAGACAGACCCTCTCCTGAATCTCCATCCAAACTACAATAGGAACAGTTGGGGGTGTATGCTTTGCCAGGACAAGGTTGTATCTTTCAAAGGCAACTTTCACTTTTGACATTTTACTTCTGTTTCAGGTTATTTTCAGGTGCAAGCACAGAATAGTGGTCAGAGAGCACGGATCCTGGAATGAGATGGCCTGGGTTTGAATCCTGTCTGCCATTTACTCCTGTGCGAACCTGTACAAGTTACTTAACCACCCACTCTTCTGTGAAATGGAACAAATAATAATACTACCTCACAGAGTTGTGAAGATTAAATGTATTCATAAAGGTAAAACACTTAGAACAATTCTGGGCACATAGTACCCAATACTTGCAAGCAAAAGAAAACCCAATTTGGGGCTTCCCTGGTGGCGCAGTGTTAAGAATCCAACCGCTAAGAATCCACGTGCCAACGCAGGGGACATGGGTTCGAACCCTCCTCCGGGAATATCCCACATGCTGCAAAACAACTAAGCCCGTGCGCCACAACTACTAAGCCCGCGCGCCTACAGCCCGTGCTCTGCAACAAGAGAAGCCTGCGCACCGCAACAAAGAGTAGCCCCCCTAGCCGCAACTAGAGAAAGCCCACGCACAGCAACAAAGACCCAACGCAGCCAAAAAATAAATTAAAAAAAAAAAGAACACCCAATTTAACGAGCTTAAACAACAAAGGAAATGTATTGGATGATGTAATTTCAAAGTCATATAAGCAGCTTTCTGAGGTAAGGCAGGCTGTTGATCCTGGTTTCTCTACAACTGTCTAATTCAGATTTCTAGGACTCACATCTCTCCGTTCAGAAGAACAGAGCCTGCTTTCCAACCTCTAATCATTAAACAAAAGGCACAGGCTTCCCAACTGGATGAATTTAGGTCACATGACTTCCCCAGAACCATTCACAGTAGCCAAGAGAATGCCTTGTAGTGACTGGTTTGGAAGTGAAATCCTTCCACATTTTTGCATTTAGGGAGATAGGATTGTGCTGATTGGTTAGGTGGGAGTAGAATCAACCTCCTATGACTCTCATAGCTGCTACACAATGAGTGAGGCTGGCAAAAGTGCCTGCGAGAAGGGATGAAGATAATTGTTTGAATTTATCTATAGTAAAAAATAAGCTAATACAGCTTTTCTTAAAAATACCCTTTTCAGAATACAGAAAAGTTGCAAAAAGACAACAAAGTGGCCTATAATCCTGAGGTTCTGATAACCATCATTGATGCTTTTTTAAAAAGTACAAGAAAATACAAACATTTTATTCAGAAATGTATAAAATATAGCATAGATCATTACTATAACAATTGACAAAATTTGAACACAGACTATAAATAAGTAATCGCATCAAAGTTCAGTTGTCTTGAATTTGATGATTGTGGTGTGGTTATATAATAGAATTCTTACAAGATATAAGCCGAAATATTTAGGGGTAAAGGGACATGATTTCTCAGACTTGCTCTCAAATGGTTCAAAAAGTAATATGTAAAAGCCGTGTGTATATATATTTACATAGAGAAAGAAATAGTAAATGTGGCAGATGTTAACATTTGGCAAATATGGATAAAGATTTGCAGCTCTACTGTATTTGAAATTATTAAAAATAAGACTGGAGAAACAGGCATAATAAATCTTTTGTTACCATATTTATGCCTTCTATGCAGTCTTTTGCATGACGCAAGTTAAACAACAACATCAACATCACCTAAAAAATGCAGCACATATCTGCCTTACCCCTCCCCTCCTTGATGGCCAGAAACCCCGGCCAAGTTCCTTCTGAGTCCTATCAGGGGAAAAATGCATAGCAATATATTTCTATATCAAGATTTTGAAAGAGAATTATTTTGGGAATCATTTGTGGTACTTGTTTAAGGCAAACATCCAGGGAAACTACCATCCACCATACAGGCATAAACCCACTGCTAAAAGCCAACGCTCCAGCCATGGCTGACTGGGAACTGGCCCTTCGCGCTGCATGCCGGGATCTGGAGTCTTTCTCCTCCGAACTGCAAGGCGCTCTGGGATAGCCCGGCCTCTCCCTTATCTCGCGATGCTATCCTCTCTTCTTCGGGGCCCTCTGACCCCCGCCCCAACGTGTTTTTCAAATCCACCAATGGGCGCATAGCGTAAGCTCGAACCAGCCAATCGGAATGCGGGGCCACCGGGAAATTTAAATCGCGCCGGCCGGCTGCTCGAGCCACACCGTCCTCTGGCTGACCGTGGTGGACGTCTTGAGCGCAGTCGGTCCGCAGCCTGTGCGCCCCGCACCGCCTCCTGTGGAAGCTTGAGCCGGCTGTGTAGGTACGAACTGAGGCCGCAGCCCGGCCCGAGCGGCAACGGCTGGCCCGCAAGGCCGCGCTCGGATTGCAGGCGGCGGGAGGGGAGGCCCGGGGTAGGTGCCGGGCCTGGCTTTGGCCTCTCTGGTTAACGAGGCCTCGGGGGCGTAGTTCGTTGGCGAGACGGGCGTTGCACGATGCTTGGCTGTAGGTCTCGAGGCCCTCCGAACAGCCGCGATTGTCTTTGAGAGAGAATCAGAGTGAGGCCCGAGGAGGAAAGCCTCGGTAGGGGGCCCAGCGCCTCTGGCTCCTCCTCCGCCCGTTCCCGCTGCTGCTTCCCCGAAATGGGGTCGGGGCTGGGGGCGTGGGGCAGGGGAAGGGACTGGAGATGGAGGTGGCAGTTGCAAGTTCTGTCTCTTAACACGTAGGCCCAGGTTTGGTTGTGTCACAATTTCGTAAAAGAACAGAATGGAATTAAAGATAGCCACTTGTAAGGAAGACTTACTTTTGTGCTCTCTTGGAGAATGCTCTTAAGTAGCTGAGTTTGAGTGAAGCACAGCTGATAATCAGCCTAATTAGTGGATTCGCTCAGAATTTCTGGAAATGAAAATGTATGCGAGATGCTGAAGATGCAGAACTGCGTCGCAGGTGTTCAGGGTGGGTGGGCAGGAAATTTTATGAAAGACTCCACAATGTAATGATGAATCCGATTTTAAAAAAATTTTCAGACGTGGAGAATGTACCTGTTTGGGCTTTTTAAAGACAGTAGAGGCTCCAGAGGATCGGAATTTATGGCCCCTAAGACATAGATTTTAACTGTAACCTCATTTCCCCTACTTTGTCTTCAATTAACTATTTATAGATCCCATATAGAGTTTAGAGGCACACTGTCCGGTGTGTTAGTCCCCAAACGCATGTGGCTAGTCTGAATTGAGTTATGCTGTAAGCTTAAAGTCCCTGCAAGATCTCGAAGAAAAAAGAATGTAAAATATCTCAGTAATTTTTTGATGTAACGTGTTGAAATGAGAAAATATATGTTGGGTTAAATAAAATATGTTATTGAAGTTAATTTCATTTTGTTCCTTTTTGCTTTTTTAAAAATGTGGCTACTAGGAAACTTAAATTTATGCAGCCTGCATTATATTTCTGGTGGACAGTACTGCTCCAGGAAGTTATCAGCCCTTCAGAGGGGAGGGGCCGAAGATCATTTGGCCAAAGCTGTTTAATAGTGCTGAAAAAGGAAGTTCTTCCTCTCATATAGAAATGTAGACTCAATATGTGTTTGATAATTCCATTAATGCTCATCTTATTGCACAACAAAATGATAAAAGGGAAATTTTTTTCTCTCCCTCATCTTACAGCTTTCTCCCTTTGTCTCATAACCATGTCCACCAATGAGAATGCTAATTCACCAGCTGCCCGCCTTAACAGATTCAAGAACAAGGGGAAAGACAGTACAGTGAGTACCTTCTGTTGCTTTCCTATGATGTTTTTTAAACGGGAATATATTTGGAAAGGGGGTCAAAATTTTGAGCGAATTTGAAAAAGTACCTTCACTTGGCAACAAAAACTGATTGTAATAGGTGAGATAATATGTTGTCTTTTCTCAAGGAAATGAGGCGGCGCCGAATAGAAGTTAATGTGGAGCTCAGGAAAGCTAAGAAGGATGACCAGATGCTGAAAAGGAGAAATGTCAGCTCTTTTCCAGATGATGCTGCTTCTCCACTGCAGGAAAACCGCAACAACCAGGTAAGGATATTTTAGCTTATGAATTACGGTAAACCCAGAAAAATCAATATGGGGCTTTTCTTAGAAATTTAAATTAACATTCCTAGCTTTGTGGTTTTAACTATCAAATGTGAAGATCTGTTTTTGTGTGCTCCCCGGAAGTAATTCTGATGGGTTGTCTTTTTCCTGCCCACCCTCCGAAATCTACTGAAGCTGATCCTAAGGTTGTCTTTAGCTCTGATCTCCCTTCAAGTTTCCCTGCATTTTCAGTTGCCAGCTCATACCTTGACCTGGCCATTTAACTGTTAATTGAAAGTTAATCATGTCCAGAACCATCTTATTTCTACCTCTTTCTTTCTCTTTCTCTTTCCCTTCCTTCCTTCCTTCCTTCTCTATTTTTTATACTTGTCACCAGCTTTATTCAGGTCTTTTTCCTCAGTACTGAAATACTTTCAGTAGTCTCCTAATTTTATCTTTCCCTTCATTCTGTGCCACATACTACTTACCTAAAAATTTTCCTAAAATTCTGCTTTAAACATCTTAGAAACTTTATGGTTTTAAATCCTTATTTATTGAAGGTTTTTTGTAAATTAGACCCATCTTAGATTTTCAAATTTATGTATTTCATCTTTCAAAGATATTGGGCACTTTCCTACTTTTTTTCATGTTATGCTTTACTTTAGTGCTCCGTATTTTATGTTTTTTTTTTAATTGAATTCCACCTATGCGCTATTTCTCGAGTTTTATACTCAAATCCCATCTTCTCCTTATAGCACTCTTTGGTTAGCCTAACAGGAAAAATGCTCCCTTCTCAGAATTCCTGTAGCACCCCATTCTGCACCAAAAAAGGAGAGTAAATTCTGTATAACCCTATATACATATAACACCATATATATATATATATAGTGTTATACATATAGCCATTTATTATATGGTTGGTTGCTTGTCACATTTTCCTTGTTAAGTTGTAAGCCTATAGGGAGAAAGGGACACTGTCTTTTTGAGCTAACTGTAGCATTGGTTCTCAAAGCAATGCTACAGTTAACTCAAACCTATGATCACAACCTATACGTTTATATTTGTAACACTACTATGGAAATGAATAGATAACAAACTTAGATATGAAAAATCCCAGCATATCTAAATACAAGTGATTTAGACTAAGGTAGGAATAACCTTCACAGTGCTCTAATTCATTTTTTTAAAGTTGTTCACAGCTACTTTATCTAGTGACTAAATGCTGGGATACTCCATTACTTGAGACTTTGTTTAATCATGACACCAAGTTTGAGAATTGTTCTACATATTAAAAATGAATATTTCATTAACAGGCAAATTTTAATGTAGGGCTAAACTCTTAGTAACTGATTATAAACTTAGGGTTGGGATTTTATTGTTTGTATTTAATCCTTTTTTTAAATAAATTTATTTTATTTTATTTACTTTATTTTTGGCTGCGTTGGGTCTTCGTTGCTACACATGGGCTTTTCTGTGGTTGCAGTGAACAGGGGCTACCCTTCATTAGCGGTGCTCGGACTTTTCACTGCAATGGCTTCTCTTGTTGTGGAGCACGGGCTCTAGGCGCGTGGACTTCAGTAGTTGTGGCTCACGGGCTCTAGAGCACAGGCTCAGTAGTTGTGGTGCACAGGCTTAGTTGCTTCGCGGCATGTGGGATCTTCCCGGACCAGGGCTTGAACCCGTGTCCTCTGCATTGGCAGGTGGATTCTTAACTGCTACGCCACCAGGGAAGTCCTATATTTAATCTTGAAAATGATAATTTGCAAAATTAATTCCATTTTCTTGTAGGGCACTGTAAATTGGTCTGTTGATGACATTGTCAAAGGCATAAATAGCAACAATTTGGAAAGCCAGCTCCAAGCTACTCAAGCTGCTAGGTAAGCCTTGTCTGCTATAGCATGGGTAACCTAAGAAATCAGCCTTTTTACATTTTTTGGTGGGAAAGTGATGAGCAGGTGGTGTGGGTAAAGTAAAGTTTAAGCCAGGCCTAGGCCTATTTTCATTAGAATCTTCCCTTAGGAGGATGTAAATTTTTCTGTAATTGCCTAAATTCCATCTACCTCTAGTGATAATCACTGTTAACCTTTTGGTGTACTTTTTTTTTTTTTTTTTTTTTTTTTGGTGTACTTTTTAACAAAATTACAAAGTTTTTGTCGGAGTGGCATTTCAAGTCTGTCAGGGAAAGGAGGAATTATTCAGGAAGTGGGATTAGCTATCCCTAATAGCTAATGGGAAGGAGGTGCTATCCCATTTATTTAGAATGGTCCATCCAGTTAGGAAATAAATATATGTAGACTCTTACCTTCCACCATACACAAATATTTGTGATATCCATAATAGAAAGGATTAATAATTTCTGTAGCTTGACAGTGTGGGGAAAAGCAAATCCAGTTGACAAATGATCATGGAAAAGATGTTTAGCTTCATTAGTGGTCAGAGAAATGCAAATTAACAATGAGAGTGCAATGCTATCAGATTGTCAAAGTTTTTAAAAAGTGATAAGATCTAAAGTAGATTTCTGCAGAGATGCAGAGAGAAGGTTCTACATTATTGGTAATATCTCAGTTTTGGAAAAAAAGTAGTTTACGACGCAACTTATGGTAGCGCCATGCAGCCAGTCTGCTCAGCTCCTCTTAAATTCTAGAATGTCTCAGCATTTAGTGCTTTACTGTAAAAGGTTGTTTAAAGTTCTAAACTCTTGAGTTGCATTTTAAATTGTTTTTTTATATGAATGTGTTTTGATAATCACCTTCAATTTTTGTTTCTCTTTTTGCTTACCCTTAGGAAGCTGCTTTCCAGGGAAAAACAGCCCCCTATAGACAGCATAATCCGGGCTGGTTTGATTCCAAAATTTGTGTCCTTCTTGGGCAGAACTGATTGTAGTCCCATTCAGTTTGAATCTGCTTGGGCCCTCACTAACATTGCTTCTGGGACATCAGAACAGACAAAGGCTGTGGTAGATGGAGGTGCTATCCCAGCATTCATTTCTCTGTTGGCATCTCCCCATACTCACATCAGTGAACAAGCTGTATGGGCTCTAGGAAACATTGCAGGTACTTGGATTTAAGATTCTTTTGACTGAGTGTCTTCAGTCATACTGAGGTTAGTAGAAGTGCCTTGTCATAAGTAATAGTGACGTCTGTGTTGGGTTTTGAACTTACTTGCTTCCAGTGCATATAAGGGGTGGAAGTGGCATCTAATTTAAGGAATTTCTGAGAGTGTTTTCTTTGCTTCAAGACACTGGTGCACTCAGTCACTGAAATTGATGGTGCTAAACAAGCAGTTACGGTTAACTTTTGCCTTTTTTTTTTTTTAAAGGTGATGGCTCAGTTTTCCGAGACTTGGTTATCAAGTATGGTGCAGTTGACCCGCTGTTGGCACTTTTGGCGGTTCCTGATTTGTCATCTTTAGCGGTAAGTTACTTAACATACATCAAGTTATTCATTGATTCTAATTTTCCCACCTTCTCAAAAAACAGAGCACTTCATTGCATTTTTCTTTTCCCCTAGTGTGGTTACTTACGTAATCTTACCTGGACACTTTCAAATCTTTGTCGCAACAAGAATCCTGCACCCCCCTTAGATGCTGTTGAGCAAATTCTTCCTACTTTAGTTCGTCTCCTGCATCACGATGATCCAGAAGTTTTAGCTGATACCTGCTGGGCTATTTCCTACCTTACCGATGGTCCAAATGAACGGATTGAAATGGTTGTGAAAACTGGGGTTGTACCCCAACTTGTGAAGCTTTTAGGAGCTACTGAATTGCCAATTGTGGTAAGTTAACTTTCAGGTGAGAATATAAACTCTAAGGAGCATAATTAATTGGTACTAATATTGACATATTGTCTATTTTAGGCCATATAATGAGCTTCTTACTTGTCAAAACTTTTAGGGTATAGAGATTTTGAGCAGTGCTGGAAAAGATAAAGGATAACCGCCAGCGTCAACATTTTTTTCCTTTTCAGACTCCCGCGCTAAGAGCCATAGGGAATATTGTCACTGGGACAGATGAACAGACTCAGGTTGTAATAGATGCAGGAGCACTTGCCATCTTTCCCAGCCTGCTTACGAACTCCAAAACTAATATTCAGAAGGAAGCTACGTGGACAATGTCAAACATCACGGCTGGCCGCCAGGACCAGATACAGCAAGTTGTAAATCATGGATTAGTTCCATTCCTTGTTGGCGTTCTCTCTAAGGTAATGAAGTCTTAGGACTTAATAAGGGATTGTTAGTGTTTATGGACAGGCACTTGGTAGATTCTTTTTTTTTTTTTTTTTTTTTTTTTTTTTTGGTAGATTCTTAATGTACTAATGTAAAGTTGTACTTAACTGCTTTTGCTAAATAATAGTCATTTCTTTTACTTAAGCTTGGATAGAACCAGTTGGTAGTTTTAGTCACCGTTTTTCTAAAACAGTACTTTTGGAATCTTATTTTTATGACCATTCTGAAATAAACCTGTTTCCTTATGTTAATTAGGCCGACTTTAAGACACAAAAGGAAGCTGTATGGGCTGTGACCAACTACACAAGCGGCGGAACAGTTGAGCAGATTGTATACCTTGTTCATTGTGGCATAATAGAACCGTTGATGAACCTCCTAACTGCGAAAGACACTAAAATTATTCTGGTTATTCTGGATGCCATCTCAAATATCTTTCAGGTAAGTCTTAAGAAGGTGGCATGTGTTTGAATTTGGACTTGATAATTGGTTTGCTATGAAGGTGACTGGGGTGGGGGCAGCTGAGCTTACTCAGGGGGCCACAGAATCAGAGAGACATTTATGGGGGCCACACTCTTGATAAAAGGTGTGACAACGGATTGTAAGAGAGATAAAGGAGATGACAGGTGAATGATGTCACCTGAATTGAGGTCAGGTACATATGTGGACACTATTCATACCTATTTATTTTGTCAGGAGTTTTTAATTCCCCAGTTTCATACTGAATTTTGGTGAAATTAAATTTGAATGACCTAGTTAATTATATTTTTCTTCTGGTTCCGTTCCTAATTGATCCAAGCATGCTAGCACAGGGCACTTGTCATAGTGCTTGGTGGTAGGTAGGTCTTACTCAACAACTTTAAACTTCAGATTATGGAAATTTGTACATATCAAAGTTGAGTTTAGAATAATGATCCCTAGTGTATCCATCACCTAGCATAAATAATTGTCAACATTTGGCCTCTTTTTCTACTCACCTTACCTAAAATTTTATTTTTTTTAAATTAATTAATTTATTTTTGGCTGCATTGGGTCTTCGTTGCTGCGTGTGGGCTTTCTCTAGTTGCGGCGAGTGGGGGCTACTCTTCGTTGCGGTGCGCGCGGGCATCTCATTGCGGTGGCTTCTCGTTGTGGGGCACAGGCTCTAGGCACATGGGCTTCAGTAGTTGTGGCATGTGGGCTCAGTAGTTGTTGCTCACGGGCTCTAGAGCGTAGGCTCAGCAGTTGTGCACGGGCTTAGCTGCTGCACGGCATGTGGGATCTTCCCAGACCAGGGCTTAAACCCGTGTCCCCTGCGTTGGCAGGCGGATTCTTAACCGCTGCGCCACCAGGGAAGCCCTAAAATTTTATTTTGAAGCAAGTAAGTAATTTCATTTTTAAAAATTTATGTTTCTTCTAAAAGTTGAGAACTTTAAAACATATTTAGCCACAATGTCATTCTTACACCTAATAGGTTCTTGATATCATCAAATAATCTAGTCCAGGGAATTTGTTTTTACATACCGTAGGCCCTCTTTACTCTTGGACAATGGTTCTCTTCCTTGACTACATACATTTTGGGATTATCTGGGGTGCTTTTACACTAGTAGTTTCCAATTCCCATCACAGACCAATTGAACCTGGATATACCGTCATTTTTAAAGTTGCCGAGGTGATTTTGATGCACAGAAAAGATTGAGAACTATACTATGATCGTTGTGGCTGAAGGCTACAGAAGTAGTTGCTAAGAGCAAGTACAGGTCTGATTCCCTTGAATTTTTAAAAAATGTAAAATGTAGATAAAAATGGAGATAGTTTTATCTCATAGGATTATGGAAGGAACTGTTGTGTTTATTTCTGTCTGATATATATTGATAGTCAAACATAGACATTGTTTTCCTCATTAAAACAGAACATTCAAAGTTTAAGCTACTAAACTTGGAAATTTTTTTTTAGGCTGCTGAGAAACTAGGTGAAACTGAGAAACTTAGTATAATGATTGAAGAATGTGGAGGTTTGGACAAAATTGAAGCTCTACAAAACCATGAAAATGAGTCTGTGTACAAAGCTTCATTAAGCTTGATTGAGAAGTATTTCTCTGTGGAGGTGAGTAAGCTGGTAATGTTAATAAGCACTGGGAAAATACACACTTAGGATTAAGCCTGTAAGATTTTTTTTTCCTCATACTTCTTTAATGAGCCCTGATAAATACAGTAAAATATTAGTGTAAGTAGGAGATGACATACATATTTGCACCTTTAATGTTTGGCTTGATGATAATACCATCTTTGTAACTTGAGATATTAAAAAGTCACCAATTTACTTTCGAATGAAAAGCCTCACGAATCTTAGAATATCTTTTTTGTTGTTGTTGTTTAATTTATTTATTTGGTTGTGCTGGGTCTTAGTTGCGGCATGCTTGTGGGCTCCAGTTCCCTGACCAGGGATCGAACCTGGGCCCCCTGCACTGGGATCGCGGAGTCTTAACCACTGTGCTACCAGGGAAGTCCCATGAATCTTGGAATCTTGAGACTAAGTTTGTGTAGGAGTTGGAGAAGTAGGCCGACCCCACAGCCATTCTCTGGCCTAATCCGTTTTGCTCTTGCCTACTGCAAAGTGACAGGTTAAAAAAATCTCTGTTTTTCTGTTAATTGTAGAAACTTTCTTTAAAAATTTTTTTCTTTTAGTATTATAATTTTTTATTGAAGTATTGTTGATTTACAATGTTGTGTTAATTATTGCTGTACAGCAAAGTGATTCAGTTATACATACATATATATTCTTTTTTGTATATATTATTTTCCACTATGGTTTATCATAGGATATTGACTATAGTCTTCTGTGCTGTACAGTAAGAACTTGTTTATCCATTCTATGTATAATAGCTTACATTTAATGCCAGCCTCTCACTCCATCCTTCCCCTATCCCCCTCCCTCTTGGCAACCGCCAGTCTGTTCTGTGATTCTGTTTCACAGATAGGTTCATTTGTGTTGTAGTTTAGATTCCACATGTAAGTAATATACAGTATTTGTCTTTCTGACTTATTTCACTTAGTATGATAATCTCTAGTTGTATCCATGTTGTAGTAGCATTTCTTAACCCATTCAGAATCTTCCCCTCTCAGGCAAGTTCAGTATCCCTCCCTCTGCTATTTGAGATATTGAAGTGTGTTTCAGGATTAAAGGTGAAATACACAAATGAAGACTTTAAGAGTGAATACCTTATAGGCATTATGCTAAGTGAAATGAGTCAGACAGAGGAAGACAAATACCATAAGATCTCTCTTATATGTGGAATGTTAAAAAACACACACACAAGCTCATAGATATGGAGAACAGATTGGTGGTTGCCAGAGGTGGGAGAAATGTGTAAACTTTTTTTTGTTTTTGTTTTTAGCCTAAATAAATTGAGATAAAAGAAGAAAAAAGTAAATATAGACTTCTAGGCAGCTACCTCTTAGAAATGTGCCATATTTATGGGATTATATTGTTTGTTTTTAAATACTTCCAGGAAGAGGAAGATCAAAATGTTGTGCCAGAAACTACCTCTGAAGGGTATACATTCCAAGTTCAGGATGGCACTGCTGGGACCTTCAACTTTTAGATTGTACATCTGAGGCATAAAGTTGTTTGTTGTGTACTATGTTCGGTAGAAGTTTGTCTTACTGTTTCTCTACTAAGAACTCTTTACACGTGGTTTGTCATTGTAGCACTTTTTACAAAGAAACTATACTTGAACAGTTCCAAACTGTACATACTGTATGAAGCTTCTCCCCTCAATGGGTTTCTTATTTCTTTGTGGAATTTCATATCTTGCAGTGTCCTGTAAATAAAGATTAAATTCCACCCTTTTCTTTACTTCACCATGCCGATGTGTTACTTTCTAATTTAGAGCTCTTAAAGGCTGCAAATGAAGGGGAGCTGAATTGAACGGATGTGACTCTAACCAGGGGTGTAGTTTTGGTTGCAGACATCATTTAATGTAAGGTTTGTTATGTCATCAAGGATACAAGATTGATAACTTCCTGCCCACTTCTGAATTCTGGCTTTGCTCCAGGCTGCTTCCCCTCTTGGTTGGTGAAAATGGCCATTGGCACTTCCAGTCTTCACATCCATTTCACACCAGTCAGAAAAATTTTTTTCACAAGTTTTCACCAAAGAACAAATAAAATTTCGCAGAAGCCCTGAGCCAATGTCTTCTCAAGGCTTACTGGCCAGGGAGATGGGATAAAAATCTTAAATTTAATCATAAATTTCTCCTGGAGCTACAAGTGGAATTCATTCCTCTGAAATTTCAAGGCTGAAAGTGGTTTCAAGGCTGCACCTTGGCATCAACAACTGGGAAAGTTTAATTGGTAAGGGGTGGGGTTGAAATAGTGTACTTAAGTTTTTAATTTAATCCCCAGGTGCTCCATCTGTGCAGCCTGGGTTGTGAAAGCCACTACTTGAAAGAGTTGCTATGCTGTTAGCAGAAAAGGAAGGGGTTGGGGGGTGGAGTGTTAGCTACAGTATCCGAGAAGTCGCAGGAAAATGCATCTTTAAAGTACAACTGTTAGTTTCTGCCTTTTTTTTTTTTAATTTATTTTTGGCTGCTTTTTTGACTGGTGGAAAAGTGATGAGCAAAGCCTCCACTGCCTTTTTCCACCACCGAAGATAAAAGCTGGGACTTCCCTGGTGGCACAGTGGTTAAGAATCTGCCTGCCAATGCAGGGGACATGGCTTCGATCCCTGGTTGGGGAAGATCCCACATGCCGCGGAGCAACTAAGCCCGTGCACCACAACTACTGAGCTTGCGCTCTAGAGCCCGCGAGCCACAACTACTGAAGCCCATGTGCCTAGAGTCCGTGCTCTGCAACAAGAGAAGCCACCGCAGTGAGCAGCCCATGCACCACAACGAAGGGTAGCCCCTGCTCTCTGCAACTAGAGAAAGCCTGCGTGCAGCAATGAAGACCCAACGCAGCCAAAAATAAATATTTTATAAAAGCAGGGTGGGGGGGGTGGGAGGGGGAGGAGGAGAGAAGTAACCAGACTGCGGCTCTGCAGCCTGTCCTCCCTTCCCTGCCTACCTCGTGCTCCACTCCCCTTTTTCCCTCCCCTTTCCCCAGCATAAGTCCCTTCTTGGTTGCTGCATCCAGAAGTCTTTCACTTGAGAAAATGTGGAAGTAAACCTGGACATCCTAGGCTTTTGCTTTAAGGTAGGTGGAGCTTTATGGCTTTAAAGGGACTAGTGTAATACACACTTTGATAAGAGTACAAGGCCTGGATTTGTTAGCGTAAAGGCATGACTCAGTGAAGTAATGGACGGGAGGCAGCTGATTTCTAAAAATACGTTTTCATATTTTAGATAAAATTCTTAACATACTAGTTTCCTTGCAGTTAAAATCCAGAGAGCCATTTGTATGTTCTTATTGAACTTAACTGGATAAAATCTTAGGTATTTTTTGAGGTTTTATATTCAGCTTGATTTTAAAAAGTGATAAAACACTGTACAGCCACCAATTTTTCCCTCTTTCATAAAATGTCTAAATTGCTTTTATTAATGCACTACATTTTTAAGCTAGCAGTTTTAAATGTCTAAGATTTTAATGATCTTTGCCTATAACTGATTTTTTTTTAAGACTAGACCTTTGTTTTATTTTTTTATTTTTGTTGTGTTGGGTCTTCGTTTCTGTGCGAGAGCTTTCTCTAGTTGTGGCGAGCGGAGGCCACTCTTTATCGCGGTGCGCGGGCCTCTCACTATCGTGGCCTCTCTTGTTGCGGAGCACAGGCTCCAGACGCGCAGGCTCAGTAGTTGTGGCTCATGGGCCTAGTTGCTCCGTGGCATGTGGGAGCTTCCCAGACCAGGGCTCGAACCCGTGTCCCCTGCATTAGCAGGCAGATTCTCAACCACTGCACCACTAGGGAAGCCCTGTTTGATTTTTGTATTAGTTGTAAGTAAGGGTGGGAAGGTAACACAGAATTTTAGTGAAATATAAAAGTAAAAACTGCAGACACTTATTTTGCTTGTTGCAAAAATCTTTAAAAAGTTAACGTTATTGGGACTTCCCTGGTGGTCCAGTGGTTAACACTATGTGCTTCCAATGCAGGGGGCTGTGGGTTTGATCCCTGGTTGGGGAGTTAAGATCCCACATGCCACGCAGCCAAAAAAAAGTTAACATTATCATTAGAAGATTGAACGTCAGTGTTAAATATTTCCCGGAGTATTGATTCTTTTTTTTTTTCTTGGCTGTGTTGGGTCTTCTTTGCTGTGCGTGGGCTTTCTTTAGTTGTGGCGAGCGGGGGCTACTCTTCGTTGCAGTGCACGGGCTTCTCATCGCAGTGGCTTCTCTTGTTGTGGAGCACGGGCTCTAGGTGCACGGGCTTCAGTAATTGTGGCACGCAGGCTCAGTATTTGTGGCTCACGGGCTGTAGAAAGCAGGCCCAGTAGTTGTGGCTCACGGGCTTCGTTGCTCCGCGGCATGTGGGATCTTCCCAGACCAGGGCTCGAACCCATGTGTCCTTCACTGGCAGGCGGATTCTTAACCACTGTGCCACCAGGGAAGTCCCTGATTCTTTAAATTGCTACATTGTATCTTGGCTTTAAATCGTATCAAGCAACTTAACTATTTTTAGAATTAAGGTAGGAAATAAACATTCCTTTTCTTACTGATGTTTGATTTTTTTCCCGTCCCTCTCTTCAACCTTTCTGTGGCTGCATCACTGAAAAGAAATTCTGGATAATTTCTTGTTACAGTAAATCCTCATTGTTGAATAGGATTTTTGCTTCAGCATTAGGCCTCTTAAATTGCTCTTGTTTATTCATTTATTTATTTTTTTGAGCTTCTCAGAACCAAGAATTAAAACCAAAATTGTGGTCACCAAAGTGGCAGGTTCCTTTCCATTAGCAGTGGAAGCAAAGTCTTCAGTTTTGTTTGTATGGGCAGTTGGAAACCTTGTGAGCTACAGGACCCCAAGTTCAGAAGGCCATTAAGGAAAGTGTAGCTGGCCACTCCTTCCCTCCCTCCACCCTTGCTGAAGCTTGCCAAGACCCAGCTGGCTGATTTTGCAAAGCCCTTGAAATATGTCATTAATGGTTCTTTCTTTTGAGGTTGGGCTGTTGACCTAATTTGTGATTAACAAAACCTGGCCAAATCATGCGGTGCTCCCCGCCCCCAAGGGAAAGTGTTGGTGAAAAGTGTTTTAGTAACATCCCTGATTCAACTTTCCTAACCCCAGCTAATAAAGATGATAAAAAACACTCAAGCTATCAAGTAGGGCTTTTTGAGGGCAGAAGAGCAATTTAATTTTGAACACTTGTATGTTAAATGGCATGTTTTGGGCATAGTTTGAAAGCATAATTCTGGTGTCCACAAATGCCCAGTTCCTCCTAAATATTTGGGACAGTTTCATAACACTGTGTAGGTGTTGTAGTCACCAAACCCTCTTAAACTGATCAGTTTGTTCATTCCCCCCACGCTTTTCACAATCAAAAATGTCTTTCCCTGTCCTAGTTTGGAGAGGTAGTGCTATGGAATGGACTAGTAATTAGGAGCCAGATCAGCCTGAGTTCAAAATCTGTCTCTACTGTATTTTAGTGAGTGAGTGACCTTTGGGCTATTAAAGTAGTACAGGTACTAATTACTATATAGTATTAATATCCTAGCTAAGTATCATAGTCATAGAACAGCTATTCCCAACCTTTTAACAGCAAAGTTTTCCTTCAGTTCTTCCACAGGCCTCTATTTTGGCACATTTTATCTCCTAGACTAAGTTTGTTATTACTCTCCCTTTTTTTTCCCCCTTTAATCAGTCACAGATATACATCAACATGAGACTTTACATGGCTTGTTTCTGTACTCAATGGTAGGAGTCTATCCCAACGTTGGATGTTCTGTCAGCCTTTAGTTTTGTTACAGGCTTGCCAGAGCTTCCCAAACGGAAACTGGCCCAAGGCTCACCAGCTTTTTCTGGGATGGCCTTTGCAGCTAAACCCTGCAAGAGCTCTGAGTTCTCTTCCTGTGCCCCGCCCCCATTCCCCTTTCTCTGAATTCTGTTGAGCAGTTTATTTGGGGCACCAGCCATGAGAACAGCCCCATCTGAGCCACCCAAGCCAGCTTGGTAATGGTTTGCTTAGAAACTTGTCACTATAGACAACAAATTGGCCTTTACTTAAGAGTGATACAAAGTTCCTTAAGTGAGCAAACATTTCACAGTGAGACAGCCAAACAAAGCTGTATTTTCTGCTCTGAAAAAGGTTGGATGTTTAGAAAACAGGTTCAGGTAGAGATATTGGAAGCTTAGCCACAAAAACAAGGGAACTTGAGAAAGGATTGGATGAATCAGAAACTTTGAATTCATTCAAAATGAATGAAAAGTTGAAGGATAATATAGATATCTAAGGATCAGAAGGCTGTTCTGATTGTAGCTACGAAAGACACATATGATTTTTTTAGCAAAACTGTTGGACAACAGGAGAAATGTGGGAAAACACGTAGAAATGAGAAGACCTTTTCAAACTCTTTGGCTTGGACCAAACTTTTAGGTGACCAGTGAGTATCCCCCCACTACATTTTTGACCATCTTTTCAGCCAATGTCTGTCATTCCAAGGAAACATTAACTTAGTGAATATGAAACTTCTTTCTTTTCTTTCTTTTTGGTAACTTTGTAAAATAACTTGTCCTAGTTACAAAACTAATGCTAATTTTGGAAAATTTAAAAAATACAACACCACAAAGATTAAAATAGCCTAAAGTCCCACCATTGGATTGTATATTTTTTCATAGATAGGAATTCTTTTTTTTAAGTTATTTTAAACTTTATTAAAAAAGAAAACAAGGAAAAAATATAACCACAAGGCATTTACTTAAACACATGAACAGTATT